AAGGAATTGAACTTCATGCATGATACACCTGTTATGTTTACTGATAGTCAAAGTGCTTTATTGTTTTGTAAAAATCCTGTTTACCATGAAAGAACTAAACATATTGAGGTAAAGTATCATTTTATTCGTGAGAAACTATCTCAAGGTGAAGTTAATCTTGTTAAAATTCACACTGATAGAAATCCCTCTGATATGGGAACAAAAATTCTACCTGCAAGTAAATTTAAATTGTGCTTATCTTTATTACATATTGACACTGGTTAATTTTTCTTGCAGGTAGTGGGCGATGATGATGAACAGTTCTTCCATGTGCAAATTCGCAACCAATAGAGAGTGTTATGAGAACCAAGGTGAAGAATGTGAGAATATGGTTCTCTTAACTCCATTTATTCAGATTTTTGTGGACCATTGGATGAAGATCGACGGCCGGGATTTAATCTTGGGGGAGATGTTTTGACTTGATGGTATTGATGGTGACACAATAAGGCTCCCCACGTTTTTGGCAGAGGGATGGGTCTTTCCTTTTCTTCCCTTCATAAGTCGACTTCCTCTCCTTTCTCGATGCTCTCTCGGTTTGAGCTTGAAGGTGGTGGGTTCTTTGCCGGTTTTTCTCTCTCTCTCTTGGAAGGTGATTTGCAAGTCATGGAGGGCTGTTCCTGAGCCTGTAAAATCAGCCATAAGGAGGAGAAGAAGCTGCTGAAAGGAGGAAGCAGAAGCTGTCCAGATTCGGCCATATGGGTTGTGTTATTTCCGGTTTCGTATTTTCTTGGTTTTGCCTTAGAATTTCTTCTATTGTTTGATGTTTTGGTTGATTGAACTCCTAGGATCCCCAACACAGAGCCACTCGCCATTGATGAAGCCTTTGAAATGTTTTGTAAAGGAATTCATCCTTTCGGACCATTTTGGGATCATATGATGGGATACTGGAACGCTAGATTGAACAACTCTTGGAAGGTGTTGTTTCTGAAATACGAGGATCTAAAAGAGGGCATTGTGTTTACTGTTTAGTGCAAAGAAGATGGCCAAATTTATTGGATTCCCTTTCTCAGTAAAGGAAGAAAAACAAGGACTAGTAGAACAAATATCAAGACTCTGCAGCTTTGAAAATCTCAAGAGTTTGGAAGTAAACAAGTTTGGTAAAAGTCATGTAATTCAAAATAGTTCATATTTCAGGAACGGAGAAGTCGGAGATTGGACCAATTATCTCTCTCCTTCGATGGCCGAACGTATTGAAGAGCTCATGGAAATGAAGTTAAAAGGATCTGGTTTGATGTTCAATAGCTACTGCAAGGCCAGCTCCAAAAGACCAGGATAATGTTTGGCTAAGCTTGAACCAAAAAAAATTAGTTTTGTAATTAATTCCAAGCGATTCCATGATATCTAATTACTTTAATGCTTCATCCAATTTACAAAACAAAGTATCGTAAGTATGAAGATTTGGCAAGATCCTTTTCCTTTTTTTGATCGGTAAATGTAGAAATTCTATTGGTCAAAACTCATGTACAAGTACTACAGGCATACCTAGGCTACACAAAAGAAAAGATGTACAAACGAAAAGATCTAAAGACGTAATGCTAAAGACTCAAAATGAATCAAAACATAGGAATATAAGGAAAATGCCATTTTGTGTACATATGTTTTAATCTGTCTCACTATGCTATCAATGCACGGTCTAAGATCTTCAAAAATCTTCTTATTTCTTGCCATCCATATGTAGTAAACGGTGCAAGCAAGAGCAATTCTCTTTGCTTTGTAATGTCAATATGTACCTCGGGCCTCCTTTTTAATCCACTTCAAGGCACTTTCAATAGTTGTCAAAGAGCGTATAATCCCCAACCATGCTCTAATTAATCTCCAAATGCAAGAACTGAATGAGCATTGGAAGAAAATATGCTGGCCTGTTTCCTCTTGTGAGTCGCAAAACACATAGTTTCTGTTGATATCAAGGTGCAACAACTTGTCTTTGGTTAGGAGTTTTGATTGAACACTTAACCACAAGATAAAAGAGTTGTTAGGTGCAATGCAAGTCCTCCAAACAACAGTAGTCCATGTCTTCTTGTCCCAGTTGGCCTGAAAAAGTCATATGCTCGTGAGGCGCTAAGCTTCCCTTCAACAACCCAGTTCGCCAATCTGCCCAACGCAGCATGTGCATTACCTTCAGGCTGAGCGATTTTGTCCCTGACTTCCAGTAGCTTTTTGAGCAAAGGTGAGTCCCGTTTTCTAGAGGAGCATTCCCAAATTGTTGTCCCTCGCAAGTAAATATGATTTATCCACCGCACCCATAGTGAATCCTTCTTATTGTGGATGTTCCAAAGTGATCTTGCCAGCAAATTGTTGTCCCTACCTAGATCCTTTTCCTTTTCATTTCATTTAATGTTGCAAATGCTTCATCAACTTCCCCAACCTTGAACAAAGCGTCAATGAGTATAGTAAAAGTATCAACATCTGGTTTATGACCATTGGCCTCCATCACGCCCCAGAATTCCTTCACTGAGTCACTAAACTTGTCTAGCAAAGTTATGTAAGTAACTTGATCAGTTCATCGTCCAATATACCTCTTTAGCAGTATCAATGAGAACCGTGAATGTAACCACATCTGGAGCAAATGTAATAATCCATTGTACTGATATGCATTCAAAACAAACGCAGCTTTTCTCATTTTTTCCAAAGCCCAAGTGAGTGTTTGCCGAGCTCCCCCTCTTATGCTTAGACCCTTAAATATAATCAAGTGTCTAAATTCCAGTTTACAAGAGCCACACGGAATAGCCCTCAAAGATTCAACATTTCTTAGTAACTAACGCATTGTCAAAGCTTGAAATTACCAAAGCATATTCTTGAGGGGTTGAGCATAATCACATTCATGCATGAAGAACCAAAGGCAATTCAATTACTCTGCAAGTGTTGGAGTGAAAATAGGAACTCAAAGGATTACAGTGATAAGGCTTTGCGTGGTTCCGGTTCGTTGAAGTGCTTAAAAGAAACCAATAAACCAGAGATAAAAGTAAAAAATGGAAATTATCTGCTACTACTTACTAGATATTTTGCATTTTTTTTATCGGATAAATAAATGTATTGATCAAAATTTTGTACAACTACTGTAAGTATTCCTGGGCCTACATAATTCACTTTACAATCGGTCTCATTACTGATAACAAGAGATTGAAAATCAATCAAAACATGACAACTTCATCTAATCGCTAAGGCTACCTTCAAGTAGGTGCCTATGATCTAATTAGTCCTATGGACTAATCAATAATGCTTCTTACAAGTTGGTGCCTTCAAAAATTGCTATCCCAGTAGGAGACGTTGGGCAGCTTTGTGTGAAGAGTCTTCAATTTTCTTGCCTTGTAAATAGGCATAAGCAGTTTACTTCACATTTTTTGTACAAAAGCAAAGTCGTTTTGAGGTTAAAATATCCAACACTAGATATGTCACTACCAGCTTAGACTTCACATTTTGCAATTTTATTTTATTTTTAATGACGGGGAACCCGCAGCAGTTACCCTTCGCGTGCGCACTGGGTAAACCTTCAGGCTGATGCAGTAGCTTGCAAACCACGTCAATCAGATAAAACGTACTAAGCAAGCCCGGTGTAACAAATTCGACCGAGAAAGTGTTGATAGGGAGAATCGAACTCGTAACCAAAGGCCTCCACACTTATATACTCCACCAACTCGTCCACCCCATGAGGAGTATTCACATTTTGCAATTTTGCTGGGAGGGGAGATGGAAAAGGGAAAGATTCTATATTGAAATTAAAATCTAAATTTTAATTTAAGTTAAAGTCAATAATTAATTTTAACAACATATTTTATGGAATCTAAACTTTTCAATCACACATATCATCAACCTTGGTCAAAATCTACTAAAAATCTAATTTTTATTTATACCAAATATGAGATAAATTCTAATCATCAACTTTTACTCATTTTTATCATTAAATTTTCATAATGAGCATGTTATGCTCCTGTTTCATGAAAATTAAAATCTAAATTTTAATTTAAGTTAAAATTAATATAAATAGGGCATAATAAGAGGGTTTTTGGGAGGTATTTTTATGTAAAAATGTATTTTTGAATAGTAAATTGATGGGAAATGTGTAGTTGAAAAATAAGGAAATTTTTTTGATTTTTGTATAATATTATTTTAATAAAGAATGTGTGGTTGAAAAGAAGAGGGAGAAAAATATATTTTGAAAAAAAATTGAGTACCAAACTGGATATAAATATAAAAAAGTTCGATTATTGCAGTCCTACTCAGATTCCCCCTACTGCCTCCAGAAGGCAAACAAAACCTCCATAGAGACAAGGCAAATTGGGTTGTGAAAAATTGAAAAGCAATGGAAAGTGGAAGCAGTAGTACTGACAAAATTATATCAGACTCAGTTATGGAGGCAGTAAAGCGAACGTCGAGTAACATAGATGAAGTGAAAGCCAATTTGGAAGAGTTCTTGAAATACTGTGATACTGAAACCCTTTCTCAATTGGAACCTCTTGAAAGGGCCCAGGCTCTCTTCTTGATTGCTAAAGCCAACACCACTCTTGTTACCTGTATGTATTGCGTGTATATATGTTTGTGTTTTCTCTTTTAAAACTCAAATTTTTCGAAGCCCTTTATTTTCGGTTATATGCTGTGAATTATTGAAAATTGAAGTAAATTCTGTTTTTCTATTTTTATCTCTATATCATCATATGATGATATGAAGGGACTTTTTTTTTTTCCTTTATTTTGAAGTTCTTCAAGTGACTCTTGAAATTGAAGTGAATCTTGGTTTAGATATGATTTTTTGCTTGTGTGTATATTTTTCTGCTGCTGTTCCAAAATTAAAATTTTCGTTACTTGCAGCGAATTCTTGTAACTGGAAGTAATTTTTTCCCCCTTTTTAACTTTATCAATCATCATATGATGGGATTTTTTTTTCCTTTTTTCAAATGAATTTCTGAACTTGATTTTGAAGAGGTAATTGTCCCAATAAGGTTGTGTGTTCGATTGCTCACTACAATTAAAAGATGTCGAAGTTTTTATCAGTAAACTTATTAAAGAGTTAGACATTACTATCAGTGGAATCACTTCCATTTTGCGTCTCCAACCGAATGGCTCCATCATTGGTAGATGGCCAATCACAGAAGAGGGACCATCCATGTAAGGCATTTTTGATTGCTCACTATACTTTAAGCTGGTTGTTTTGGCCACTAAACTTCTCATAGTAATGTCAGTGTGATTTGGAATCATTGTTTTTTTATTTTTATTTTTTTATGTTTAATGTTGCGATATCATGTGTTTAGAATGTTCATTTCAGGCTGTATATTTTATTGATTTTTTTTCTGATGTTATTATGTGTTTAGAAAGTTCTAAAAACACTTGAATTTGTGACTTCTACCATTCAACATAATAGCAACACACAAAAATTCCATCAGCGAAATAATTCAATAAAATGTTCAGTTTGAAAATAACTTTCTAGACACATAAGAATGCAACATTAAACAAAAAAAAATAATAATAATAAGTAAAATCAATATTTCTATATTTTTTTCGGCATCACTTTGAGAAGTTTAGTGGCTAAAACTCAGTTAGCTTAAAGTATATCAAAAACGCATGCCAAAGTATAGTGAACAATCAAAGATGCCTTGCTTAGGCATCTAAAAATTATGGAGTGCTAGCTGTGAAATCTGTCTGCTAGGTCCACTATTCTGTTAGAGACACGAAATGAAAGTGATTCCAGTAAGTAACGGCCGACACTTTGGGAAGTTAAGTGATTAAAACTCAATGTCTCAATGTGTAACGAGCAATTGAAGACGTCAACCTAAGTTTAGTGATTATTTGGACAATTAACTCGATTTTGAATAAAGAGAGTCTACTTTTTATTTTTTTGTTTATTTATGTCTTTTTTTTTTTAATGCCCTTTATTTTCGGTCATTTACAGCGAATTCTTAAAACTGGAAGTAAATTTTGTTTTAGGCCCTGTTTGAGCCCCATTATTTCCTCATTAAAATGAAAAATATGACCGTTATCCATCACATCAAGCCACCATAGTTGACTTTTTATCACTTGTGTGGGGCCATAACGACTATATTTTTCATTCTCATTTTTACAAAAATGTAGCTCAAACGGGGGCCTAATGTTATTATCTCTATCAATCATCATGGGAAGAGACTTTTCTTTAGTTTCTATTCTTTGACTTGATTCTTGATATTGAAGAGAATCTTTGAGTTTAATTACATTTTTTTTTTTTTTGTTTCCTTCGATATGTGTGTGTATTCTGTTTTCCGTATTTTGTTTTAAAATTTTTAATCACGCTTTATTTACAATGAATTCTTAAAACTGGAAGTATAGTTTGTTTTTATTACTTTTATCTTTTTGAATCATCATGTGAGGAGATTTGCGAAATCGAAATAGAATCTTGAGTTTAATTACAGTTTATGTTTGATTATGGTGGTTTTTAGTGAGGCTGAGATGCAAAGGTGTGAACCCAAATAACCATCCAGTCAGAAAAGAGATCGTATGTTTCTTTTTTATCATTCTCCTTCTCTATATCCATCTTTCTTTGGTTTTTCTGACTGTGTTTTTGGCTTGTTGTGTTAACTTCTTCTTAGTATTTGAACGATCACATGTGCACGCATGTGAAATCAGGTGTTGATCAATGTTACTTGCTTAAAATTATTCAGAATTTTTAGGTTGTGAACTGTATATTGGCTCAAGTTATATGCTTTTGATATTTTGTTCAGTGTTTTTGCCTAAAACTTTGATTTTTGACGGTTGACTTATTTACCTTTTTTGTGGTGCATGTTTATGTGTTTAATAATTCTGCTTTCCTGTATGAATTTCTTGTGCTTTCATTTGTGTAATTTATACTTGGTCATATGTGTATCCACATCCTGAGGTCAAGTTTATGTACCTTGCTCAGTCCAGATGTATTCCCCTGATTTTCTTGTGCACGTGTGCGCTTTAAGATTTATTAGTAATCTGCCTTATGTATTTGTGATGGTAGGATCAGCTTGATGTTCTAGTTTAAGATTATTAGTAATTTTTTTACTACTTGTAGTGAGTGTGTGTTTCTAATGGTTTTGTGCAGGATAGATTAAGCCTGTATGAGGAGAAACTGCAGAAATGCATGGATTTAAGTAAAGGTATAATTGATTCTCCTCGACTCACATTTTAAATTGACAGACTAGTGCATTTTACCTCATATTGATAACCCTGCTATTTTTTAATTTTTTTTCAAAAGAAACTAACTCTCATTGATTAAGATTCAAAGGCATAGTTAACCTATTCAAATAGAACTTTCTCTTGTGGTTTTGGGTTGTGGTGTATGGTAACAACACTGTCTTCAATCATTGTTTTGACTCTTTCAATTCACGTCAAGTTAATGCGTATCTAATCATACGGTTTGTTATCTTGAAAGTATGGACAGCAATGATGCATTGACACGGACAGGCGTGTCCGACACGATACTTATTGGATACGTTGACACACGATTTTTCAAGAAAGTACTGACATAAGACATAGCCGACACGTTGATTAAATTATTGACGTAGCCGAAAACATTGATTAAATTATTCAAAATTTTTTATTTATATAGTATAAATTTAGTGTATACTTGTTATTAATTTTTGTTAACATCTTTTAAATACGAGTACTTATTTGTTATTTACTAATAACTTTGAATTAAAAATATATAATATTTCTAGTAAAAAAAAGGAAAAATAATTATGGTAGAGTGTCGTTATCGACACGTATTGAATACGGACACGCTACCCTAGTTGAAGTGTCCATACTATAGAGATAAACATGCATCTTAATGAGAGGAAAGTAATGCGCCAATTGTTATGCAAGTTAGGAAAGTGGTCCTTAAAATTTAAATTCAAATATTAGATATTTTGTTGCATTAGATGTATAAAATGTTGGACGAATCACTTCGTAGAATTCATCGTCATAAATGGTGATTTCCATTGTTAATTTTTTTGCAGCTCCATTACGACCTTCAGCCACCATTAACCCAATGGCGGCAGCCCGTTTTATTGAGCACTCCTTGACAGACCTTTCCCCAGGTAGTAGTCAGTTATTTTTGGGCATGACATTCTTTCCATTGAGTTATCTTTTGAATAATTACATGGTTTTACAGAGCAGAAGAAAAGCATGAAGGAAATCAGTCGCGGGGAGGTCACAAGGATTAAATATGTGGACAGGAGTGTCAAAAAGAAGAGAAAATATCAGTCATCTGAGAAGCAATCTGTTCGTGCTGCTGCACAGGAATTTCTCGAGAAAGCAGCATGTGAGCTACTAGGTGACAATCAAAGTGGTATTAAAGGACCTTTACAACCTGAAAATTCTGATGATGATTGCATAATTCTGGACTGACCCTCTGGTAGACTTCATATTCTTCTCTTTTTCACCAAATCGCGTGTTTTTGCTTACACTTTGATCATTTAATTGGGAATCCTAGATGTTTGTAGATCCTAAGCTTATCTTATCATGTTGTCCTGTTGATTCAAGTTGGAAAATTGCTAGGTTCAACTTGTTCATGGATGGTAATCTAAGAAGCACGGATACGTAATTTGAATATGATACGATACGGGTACGTCAATACGATTTTTTTTGAGAAAAAAAAAATATTAAGATAAGAGGATATGGGTTATAAAATTTAACATAATGTCATTAATATAAAAAAAAATAAAACAGAAACATAATAATAAAAATAAAATAAAATACTAAAACATTTTATTTTAATCCTTAATTGTCTAAACTTCATTTTCTTTAACATCATCAACACCAGCTTCTTTATTATAATTAAAATAACACACTCCAACTTTGGTTCTTCTAATGATAGATTAGCAACCTCGAGCACTTCAATGCCTTCAAAATTATTAAATGAGTTTTCGACAATGTCCCACATTTTGGATTCTCTTTTTGAATAGAGATCTAATATTTTTTATAAACTAATTTTGTATTTTCAATTAATATAATTAATATTCGATAAGTTATTTAAATAATTATAAGTGTTTATTAACATTCAATAAGTTATTAAAATAATTTTAAAAAATACATATTCGATATGTATCCGATAATAAATAAAAAATAATTAAAAATACATATCGGAATGTGTCTAAAATTTAAAAAATATAAAATAATTAAAAAAATGTATCTGGTACGTATCGGAGGGTATCTAAGAGCATCCAAGCTTGGATACGGGTGCACAATGAGTTTACAAGTATCCATGCTTCTTGGGTGGTAATTTTCTGTTAACAATTTTGTTGTTATGATGGTTTGGGGTGGATGCAATAATATGAAATTTATGAAATTCAGAGCTAATTGGTAATGTTTAACAACCTTATCTTAAAACTCGAAGAGTGTTGAAGGTGTGGCGGAAGTCATTATCATGTTAATTATGTAGGTATGTCATTTTCTTACATCGATGAGGACTTGAAAGGTCACATGTTTTATCATCATTTTGTAGAATTATTTGAAAAGACCAAGTTTATGTGAACACAGCGATTTGCATTTTGATGGGAATAGCTATATATTATTAGCTTGTTTGGTTTGGATTAAAATCCGATTTTAATCTAAGTCAAAGTCAAACAATCAATATTAATTACATTTTTCACAGGTTTCACCACTTTTCAACCACACATTTCAAAAACTTTCATCACAGTCTACTAAAAAATCTAATTTTAATCCCTACCTAACATCCCTTATCTCTAAATTATTTTATTGAGATAGAGGTTGAGTTGTGACTATACTAGTTTATCTATACAGTAAGTTTCAAAGGTTTATTTTAGTCTATTACAATAAACTTTACTGCATGTATTCTGTTTTCAAAAGTGCCTTTCACATCTCTCCAAATTGTGGTACTTTTGCCATGACAATGGTGATGAAGTGACTGCCGGGGGGGGGGGGGGGGGGGGGGGGGGGGGAAAAGTTTTTTTTTTTTTACTTTGAATATGTGTGGATATTTCTATATGCTATGCCCTTGTTTGAGCCCCATTTTTTCCATCAAAATACATTTTTCAACGGTGATTTGATCCCACTTTAACCACACATTCTTCAATAAAATAATATTACACACTAATTCATGACTTTCTTTACTTTTTAACCACACATTTCCATCAATACACTATTCAAAAATGTATTTTTTGAAAAGCATGTGGCTCAAACAAGGGCTATATATGTTTTAAAAGAAATTAACAATGAGTATTCTTGTGAATGAGAATGTACTTGGGAATAGTGAATCCTGGTAAGTTGGGGTACATCAGTTGTGTCAAAAAAATTAAAAAAATAGACATGGAAATGATGATTCGATTCCTATACCACATGCCACTGAACAATTCTGTTTTTTATAGTTGAAGTAATTGACGTGCAACTTTGCTGACTTGCACCAACTATTTGGCAGGCTTGTAAACAAACTCCTGTTCAGATGAGAATTGAAAACCAATTTCGAACAGTTTATTGGTCAAAGCCAATTCCTTTTGTAGCTTTTTCCTAAATTAGTCTAGCAAAGAGAGTATTGGATCCATTTGAACAGACACTAGTTAAAAAATTACGAATCTAAGTGCACTTTCTATTTCAACAGACAATCTTGTTGAAATAATTTAACAAACCAATAAAATATAAAAACATGCCCATCATGAGCCATATACTATCTTAAAAATCAATAGTAAAACAATGAACAAAATTAAATGTCTAACTTGCAAACAAACATATATAGATTAGTAAAGTGAAAAGTTCTTAAATTAGTAACTAACAGAGTAAAAAGTTCTTAAATTAGTAATCACGTAATATATTTAATCTAAACTAGAAGTAGAAACAAAGTAGAAATATCTTATATAACCACTACTAACAATATCTTTATGGGACTCATCATCTTCCTCTTCTTTATTATTAATTTCTTCTCATTCTTTGATATCGTCCATATTCTCCTTTCTCTTTCCTTTCCGTGTAAGCAGGAAAAATGAAAATAAAAGAATCTATAAAACATTCTAGGTTGTAAAGAACCAGCCCAAAATAGCTAAGGCCATTTACACACTGGCAAACTTGTTAGTAACCTTGAGGCGTAAGCCTCACAACTGGAATTAAGTTGCATGATTTTAGCAAATGGGCTTAAGGTGCTAGATTTGGGGCATTTTATGAAAGCATCACGTGAGGCGGGTTTTGCGGCATAAGCATCAAATAGTTTTTATAAACAATGATCACTGAACCCTAATTTGTTGTTTGTTATATAATTTGAATTGATTCTTATAAACTATATCATGTATATTTAATCCTTTTAAGTCAGCAAGTTAGACCCATTCATTATGAAATCAATGCATGGTATTGGTGGTACTTTTGTGATTTTCTGTTATAAAAGTAATAATTCAGCCAAGATCTCCTTGTAATATTGATTTCTTGAGAATTTAATTTCTCTAGCAGTAAGTGCGTGGTTGCGTTATTTATAGGAAAATAATATTTGCGTAGTTCAACGTCATAGCATCATAGAATAGAATGTTAAGGTTGAAAGGAGAAGTATGGTACTTGCTCTTGTACTTTTAACTAGCTGCTATTTATTCTTGTTAGAGTTTTCTACTACTTTCTATAATTTCTGACATATGGTCTCACTAAATATAACTATCGAAGATAAGTTTTGTCTTGTCTTGTTTGTAGAATAACTTGCATCATTTTTTTCCTAAACTCATTGTCAGTCACAGAAATTAGAACTTTTCCTTACTTTTTAACTGCACTTTCTCCAAAAGAAATTACTTTTGTTTAAAAATATATTCCCAAAAAATGGGGCTCAAACATAGTCTTAATATTTGGGGTTCTAAATTAAATAAATTAATATGTATAGAGACATATTTCTACTTACTGCTCAGAAAGAGACTGCTGGGTGAAATTTTGATGTAGTTTTGATTTGATTTTGGTAATTTTAACCTGCAAGGGATATAAAATACAGTCCATAGGGGTGAAATATTTATTAAACTTGAACTCGGTGCAGTATATTAGCATGATGGGAATCTCGAGTGATGGAAGCATAGTACTCTTATATGCATTCTTTTGCTGCCTTAATGATAACCCTGAATATTCTTGTTATGTTTCATGTTTTGACTTCTTTCCCTTAACTTCTCCATGCAGTGTCCGTCACATGGACTGTATGTACCCGTGTTCGCGGATAGACAATTATCATATGCGATCACAGAGATTACGGTTTCCCTGCCTATACTCCAAGCAAAATATCTGTCTCTTTTTCTTTTCTTTTTTCGCACGGTTAGAAATCTCTCTCCTTTCTTAAAGAGAGAATATCTAAGTTGTATGGTTGGAGATTCTTGTATATTTAGTGATTTCGTTAATGATTTTTTTAGTATATTTGATAAAGTTGGTGAAATGTGTTGTTGAAATGATTAAAAGTATTACGGTTTCCCTGCTTATTGTAACGCCTCGACCCGCATGGACGGAAACGTCACTCAACCATTGTACCTTAACCGTAAAGTTAGTTCAATATATTTTTAGTAGAAGGTATAAAGATTAACTTTTAGAATTTAATTAAAGAATTTTCTTTTTTTATTTAAACAATAAACCAATTCTAAAAGAAAAAAATTTCAAAAATGTTTTTAGAATGGGTTTCATGCATGTAACGACTATTGATGTGAAATTTTGGCAAAATTTAAAAAGTAATGTTGTTCTAGTTTTTTTCTCAAACCGTAATTGTCAAAATAAATTTTTTTCATAGCTATCGACTTTAAAACTTCATCAAATTTTAATGTAGGGTGGTAAACTCCTTATAATGTGACATAGTCAAAAGCTAGCTTCCATCGACATCATATGGGGTATTAAAATATTTTTCAAAACTCAACAGCGACCCGGTTGAAAGGTAAACCAGTGCAGTTACCTTAAAATGGAATATAAAATTCCATCGACGTCAAAATCACATGATTTCAAATTTATTCAGTAGTTAATCCATGAGACTATCAAACGCAATTGGTTTCATCCAAAAATTCCAAGTAACGAGTGAGTTATGAATTTTTGAAAACAAAGGTAGAAGCTGAAAAACAGAAACAGCACCCAGCATAGTTTACTTTATGTGACATATAACCTTTTACCGATATTGGATTGACATGATTCCAATTTTATTCAGTATCTAATTTATTAGGCTATCCAATCCAATTGGTTTCGTATAAAAATACCAAGTAACGAAAGAGTTATGATTTTTTTTAAAGATGAGACAGAAATTGAAATTTCTAGAGAGACGTCAAAACTTTAAATCGCTAACTTTTTTTTTTGTATACGGTGATTTGTAAATTTATTCCTATGACGCATATCTACTTTCAAACATAATTTATTCATAACGAGTGTTCGTAAAATAGATCCACACAATATTCATAGAAATCAAATTTAAAGAAAGTATAAACATATCAAAATCAACTAATGATGTAAATCACCGGCTTCTCCATGACATGTTGCATCATCCTTTACCATCATCTACGCCTCAAGAAAAATCCATTCAAGTTATAGGAAGGGAATTAACCCATGAGTTTGAAACTCAATAGATATCATCAGCGCAATTCGTTATCAAATTAGAAATTCTGAACTATAGATTCATACCGTCATACGTAGATGGATTTCCGGCAAAATTCAATTACTATAGCATTATCATAGCACGTAGAGCCGGAGAATGATCATTCAAACTGTTGTAGTGCCGAACCACCGTACCCGAAGGTACCATCTCATTTAAACATTTATCGAAAAATCAGATTTGAAAACGAATGAACGCTTGCACCTCTACCTACCTTGAATTTTCTTGGATAAAAGAACAAAATGTATAGAAAGCCTTCATTCTTTTCACCCTTGTTATTCCTTAAACTTAACTTGATATGAAATATATATTTTTTGAGAGAAAATGAGATGAAATTTGGATTTGAAGAGGAGTGTAGTGAAAAAGTGACCTTCCACTTCTATAACATTTCTTTTTAATGAAAAATTAAGTAGGAGAGTTGTATTATCATTAAATTTATTAAATTTAGTCTTTAACTAAGAATTTGAAGAGTCTCTAAGCTATAAAAATAATTCATATGAAAGTTTTATAAAAAATATTTACATGGTGATTCGAACCGGGGTTGCCTATATGAAATTCCATGTAGATGACCATTAGGGCAACCAAGTTATTCATTAAATCTTTGTAATCAATTTTACTTAAATTTAATCTCTTAAATTGTTGGGCTTTTAATTAACTTATGACTTGGGCTTTCGTAATCTTACATGGGTTAAGCTTCCATAGGTCGTTTCTAAAATGGGTTAGGCTCGTGGTGCTAGATCATCACAAAATAATAGCATAATTCCATTTTATTTTTTTCTCGGCTACTACAATTCTTACACCTTAAATAAAATTTTGTCCTCGAAATTTACCTTATGGTTGGACAAAGAGTGTTGGGTATTTGTCTTTAACTTCTTCTTCTCTTTCCCAAGTAGCTTTTTCTACTCCATGATTATTCCATTGCACCTTGGCCAGTTGAATCTCCTTGTTCCGTAATTTATGTACCTTTCGATCCAGTATCTTGATCGCTAATTCCTCATAAGATAAGTCTTTTTGTACTTCCAAGGATTGGTAGTTGACCACATAATCAGGATCATGCATATACTTTCTGGTCATCGATACAGGAAACACATTGTGAACTGCCGATAGTTCAGGTGGCAACACCAATCGATAAGCCACATTTTCAACCTTCTCAAGTATTTCAAAAGGTCCAATATAACGAGGTCGTAGTTTGCCTTTCTTGCCGAACCTAAATACACCATTTATTGGTGCCACCTTTAGAAAGACTTTCTCTCCAACTTCAAATTCCAAGTCTTTTCTCCTGGTATCTGCATAGCTCTTTTGTCTATCTTGCGCGGCCTTTATCCTGTTACGGATCTTATCAATGGCTTCAACTGTTCTTTCAATAATCTCTAGTCCCAAAACTCTCTTTTCTCTAACTTCGTTCCAATGAATAGGTGATCTGCATTTTCTACCATAGAGAGTTTCATACGGTGCCATTCCAATAGTTGTTGGAAACTGTTATTATATGCAAATTTTACTAGAGGTATATACGATTCCCAACTGCATCCTAGATCCAGAACACAAGCCCTTAGCATATCTTCCAAAGTTTGAATGGTCCTTTCAGACTGACCATCAGATTGAGGGTGATATGCTGTATTGAAATTCAATTTCGTTCCCATAGCTCCTTGTAAGCTCTTCCAAAACTTTGACATAAATCTCGGATCTCTATCAGATACAGGGACACCATGCAATCTTACAATCTCTCTAATGTACAATTGCTCCAACTGATCTAGACTAAATGTTATTTTTACAGGAAGAAAATGAGCGGACTTCGTTAGACGATCCACTATTACCCATTTAGCATTATATCTTTTTGCTAACCTTGGAAATCCTACCACAAAGTTCATTGCGATATTCTCCCACTTCCATTCAGGTATGTCTAATGGATTTAATAACCCTGTCGATTTTTTATGTTCCGCTTTAACTTGTTGGCATACTATGCATTTTGCCACAAATGAACCTATATTTCTTTTCATATTCCTCCACCAAAATGTATTTCGAAGGTCTTGATACATTTTTGTACCACCAGGATGTGCGGTGTACGGGGTGGAATGAGCCTCCTCCAATATCTCCTTCCTCAAAACTTCATCATTTGGTACACAAATTCTTCCTTTAAACATTAGTGTCTGATCCGAAGCTATTCCAAAATCCTTTCTCTTATCAGTACCAATCTCGTTCTTGATCTTCTGCAAGAATGGGTCTTTATCATGTACTTCTATGATCCGATCTCTAAGAGTAAGTCAAACCGCCAAAGTTGCTAAATGAGCAGTGACTTGTTCTGGTGTGGTAATGACTTCAATTTGCAACTTTTCCAAGTCTTTCATCAACTCCATCAAAATAGTAGGTAATGATGCCAACTGTCCCATCAACTTTCTGCTTAGAGCATCAACAACAACATTAGCCTTACCCGGATGATAATGAATAGTGCAATCATAATCTTTCACTAGCTCCAACCATCGTCTCTGTCTAATATTTAATTCCTTCTATGTGAAGAAATATTTGAGACTCTTATGATCCGTATAAATATCGCACTTCCCTCCATATAAGTAATGGCGCCATATCTTTAATACATGAACCACTGCCGCAAGTTCTAGATCATGCGTCAGGTAGTTCTACTCATGTTGCTTCAATTGCCTTGAAGCATAGGCAATTACTTTTCCATGCTGCATCATTAGTCGGTGTCTTCCAATTAGTTACTGCTTCCACCTTTACTGGGTCAACTTCAATTCCTTGGGCAGTAACTACATGACCGAGAAATCCAACTCGTTCAAGCCAAAATTCGCACTTTTTGAATTTGGCGTATAACTTTCCTTGTGTAGTATCTCTAACGCTATTCTAAGATGTTCCTCATGTTGATCTTTACTCTTGGAGTATATCAAAATGTCATCAATGAAAACTATAACAAATTGATCCAAATACTAATGAAATATTCGATTCATCATATCCATGAACACTGCCGGAGCATTTGTCAATCCGAATGGCATAACTGTGAACTCGTAATGTCCATAAGGAGTTCTAAAAGCCGTCTTAGGTATATCATCTGCCTTAACCTTCAATTGATGATATCCAGATCGTAAATCGATCTTAGAAAATGTCTTAGCCCCTTTTAATTGATCAAACAAATCATCAATTCTAGGGAGAGGATACCTATTCTTGATGGTCAAACGGTTCAACTCCCGATAGTCGAAACACATCATCATACTTCCATCTTTTTTTCTTTACAAACAATACTGGTGCGCCCCATGGTGATACACTTGGTTGAATAAAACCAAGGTCTAACAATTCTTGTAACTAGATTTTCAACTCCTGAAGTTCCTTTGGGGTAATTCTGTATGGGGCTTTAGATAATGGCGCCACTTCGGGAACCAGATCTATTGTGAATTCCACTTGTCTATTTGGTGGAATACCCGGTAGATCTTCTGAAAACACATTTATAAATTCTTGTACCATTGGTACATCCTCAATCTTTGTCGTTGCCAGTTTTTCTCCAAAGATATTAACTAGAAACCCTTGAGATGTTTCTTTTCTCAACATTTTCTCGGCTTGTAAGGCCGAAACCAATTGGAGATGGGGTTTGGTCTTTATTCCAGGGAAAGAAAATTGTTCTTCTCCTGATTTTTGAAAAGACACTTCTCTTTCTCTACAACGAATGATCGCATAATTACATCATAACCAATTCATACCCAAAATCACATCAAAGTCCTTCATATCTATCATATACAAATTAGCTTCTAAGGTTTTCCCCTCAATATCGAATTTCACTGACTTAGCTAACTTGTCTGTGTTCAATATCCTGCTTGAGATGAGGTTAATTTCTAGTGTACTCTTTGACTTATTACAAGGAATACTAGATTTAGCAATGAAAGACGTTGATACAAAAAAGTGAGTAGCTCCTGAATCAAACAGTATATAAGCAGGTGAATGGCTACCAGTAAAATACTTGTCATTACGTTTGAGTTCCCCTCTGCATCTTTTTGAGTCAATGTAAAAACTCGTGCTTTTCCCTTCTTGTTCTGATCATTGTTATCATCATTCCTCTGAGCAAATGTAGGACAATCCCTAGCAATATATCCTGATTTGTCACACCGAAAACAGGCATTCTTCCCATACAAGCATGTACCACGATGAGGCTTACCACACTTAGGGCATGGTGCTACTGCAGCTACCATGGCCTTACTCGCGCTAGATCCGATATTAACTTTCTTATTTTGCTATTTGCCCTTTCCTTTGTCTTGACCATTCCACTTTCTTTTTCCAATTTGCCCTTTATCCTGCTGGTTGTACAATTGATGATATTGCTCTGCATTAGCCTTTTGATACCAGATAGCGTGAGCTCGTTCCAGCATCTCACGGTACGACGTGAAGTGATGTGACATAAGGATCATACTTAGGTATGGGTTTAACCCTTGCTCGAACCTTCGAGTTTTCTTAATTTTCATATCAACCAGATATGGAGCATACCTTGCGAGTTGATCGAACTTCCGCTCGTAATCCGTTAGGGACATATTACCCTGCTTGAGTTGAAGGAACTCGTTCTCTTTGAAATCCCTTAGAGATTGAGGAAAATATTTGTCCATCCCAAGTTATTGCCAATCGCTGCTCCGGAGTCCTAGTTCGGGACATCGAATCCCACCAGTGACTTGCATCACTGGTAAACATAAACTCCGCACATTAAACCCTTTGGGCATCAGTGCAGTCTATGAGCCGAAAAATTCGTTCTAGCTTACGAAGACATTCCTCAACTACTAGTGGACCAGATGCTCCATCGAAGGTAAGGGATTTATGCCTTCGAAATAACTCAACTACCGAGGCGTGAGTCGGAAGAGTAATAGGAGCTGGTGGTGTAGGTGGAGCGGGATGTTGATTCAGCCTGCCAAGATCTTGAACCGCTTGCAGGAGACCCTTTATCAAGTTGTTATGATTTGCTCGAGACATTTTCCTAGAGATAAGATATAATATCTCACATTAACTTCGTTTGCCAATACCAGAATACTTAAAAAAAAAAAGGTAGTCCTCAAATTGATCATAATTTTTCTTTATTAATAGTACTCATTGCAATCAGGACATACAATAGGTCGACAATTTTTTTTTTCAAAAACATAAAGGAAAAGATATCACAAGGAAATGGAAATCTAAATTTCTAATCCCTATGAATCTTCTGAATCTTTTTCGGTGGAGCCTCATTTTCGGAGGAGTCTTCTGTCTCAGGCCCTGACTCTAGGTCCATCTCAACCTTTGGCTTAGGTTCATGCTCAAGATCATTCTCTAAGTCCAACCCAAAGTCATCCTAATGCTCTCATTCGGGATCTTCCTCTGGGTCTGATTCAAACTGAGGTTTGGGCTCGAGCTCAGGCTCAACCTCATTATTGGGCTCAATTACCATATCCGGTTGGGGTTCTAAACTCTCACTCCATCTGTCTAGAAAGGTCTGACAATATATACCAAATTCAATCGTATTTGGGTGCTCTGGACAGTTACCCTCTAGCATCTCATCCCTAACAATGACTCCCATATTTCCCCACTGAGGTGGAAGTGAATGTATAAGGCTATTCACAGCCTCGATATGCGTGATCTTCAATCCCGCATCTACAACTGCCATACATCTCTCGTAGATATCATGTACATGTTCAACAAGTGGACGAGACGAGTCTGTCACATAATTTTCATAGGACTGGATGATAGCCCTACGGTTCAACACTGCTATACAAACTGTGGCCTTTCTAGCGGTCTGATAAATTCTAGCCATGTCTGTCACATAAGTGTCCAATTATGTGTTATTTTCATTAGTGATATCAACTTATACATTATGCTCTTAAGGTTCTAATATGATGACCAATCATCATTTCTTCACGTATATTTAAACAAAATATAATGTACATAGCATATTTCATTCAAAATATCATAAGCATTTTCATAGATTCAATCTTAAATGATTAAAAAAAATCAAAATCATGCTCGAAAAAATAATGCGGAACATAATATTTTATTCCATACCTTGGGTTCGTCGGACGAGGTCAACTGATAGACGCAAGAGGGAGTGCCTTAAATGTTTCATTTTTTTTCATCTCATAAATAAAATACACTAAGTCTACAAAATCAAATAAACTCGTGCTCTGATACCACGTTGTAACGCCCTGACCCGCATGGACGAAAACGTCACTCAACCATTGTACCTTAACCGTAAAGTTAGTTCAATATATTTTTAGTAGAAGGTATAAAAATTAACTTTTAGAATTTAATTAAAGAATTTTCTTTTTTTATTTAAACAACAAACCAATTCTAAAAGAAAAAAATTTCAAAAACGTTTTTAGAATGGGTTCCATGCATGTGACGACTATTGACGTGAAATTTTGGCAAAATTTAAAAAGAAATGTTGCTGTTCCAGTTTTTTTTCCTCAAAAAGTAATTGTCAAAATAAATTTTTTTCATAGCTATCGACCTTAAAACTTCATCAAAAACTTCATCAAATTTTAATGTAGGGTGGTAAACTCCTTATAATATGACATAATCAAAAACTAGCTTCCATCGACATCATATGGGGTATTAAAATATTTTTCAAAACTCAGCAGCGACCCGGTTGAAAGGTAAACCGGTGCAGTTAACTTAAAATGGCATACAAAATCCACCGACGTCAAAATCACATGATTTCAAATTTATTCAATATTTAATCCATGAGACTATCAAATCCAATTGGTTTCATCCAAAAATTCCAAGTAACGAGTGAGTTATGAATTTTTGAAAACAATGGTAGAAGCTGAAAAACAGAGACAGCACCCAGCACAGTTTACTTTATGTGACATATAACCTTTTACTGTTATTGGATTGACATGATTCCAATTTTATTCAGTATCTAACTTATTAGGCTATCCAATCCAATTTGTTTCGTATAAAAATACCAAGTAACGAAAGATTTATATTTTTTTTAAAGATGAGGCAGAAATTGAAATTTCTGGAGAGATATCAAAACTTTAAGTCGCTAACTTTTTTTTGTATACGGTGATTTGTAAATTTATTCCTATGACGCATATCTACTTTCAAATATAATTTATTCATAACGAGTGTCCATAAAATAGATCCACTCAATATTCATAGGAATCAAATTTAAAGAAAGTATAAACATCTCAAAATCAACTAAAGATGTAAATCACCGGCTTCTCCATGACATGTTGCATTATCCTTTACCATCATCTACGCCCCAAGGAAAATCTATTCAAATTGTAGGAAGGGAATTAACCCTTGAAACTCAATAGATATCATCGGTGCAATTCATTATCAAATTAGAAATTCCGAACTATAGATTCATACCGTCGCACGTAGATGGATTTCCGGCAAAATCCAATTACTATAGCATTATCATAACACGTAGAGCCAGAGAATGATCATTCAAACTGTTGTAGTGCTAAAGCACCATACCCGAAGGTACCATTTCATTTAAACATTTATCGAAAAATCAGTTTTGAAAACGAATGAACACTTTTGCACCTCTACCTACCTTGAATTTACTATAGAAAGCCTTCCTTCTTCTCACCCTTGTTATATTCCTTAAACTTAACAATATGAAAGATATTTTTTTGAGAGAAAATGAGATGAAATTCGGATTTGAAGATGTAGTGAAAAAATGACCTTCCACTTCTATAACCTTTCTTTTTAATGAAAAATTAAGTGGGGTTGTATTATCAATTAAATTTATTAAATTTAGTCTTTAATTAAGAATTTGAAGAGTAGAAGTCATAAAAATAATTCATATGAAAGTTTTATAAAAAAACATTACATGGTGATTCGGACCTGGGTTGCTGGGTTTTTAATTTAACGACCTGGGTTTTAGTGATTTCGTTAATGATTTTTTTAGTATATTTGATAAAGTTGGTGAAATGTGTTGTTGAAATGATTAAAAGTTATATAGGCCATAAAATGTGTAATTGAAAATGTGTGGGAAAATCGCGAATTATTGAAACTGATAGTAATTTTTTTCTATACTACAATATAATTTACCCATCTTAACAATCATCATAATTCATATGGAATACTTTCTGCAATTGGAAAATGCAACCATCATTTATGAAAAAAATGAAAAATATATATTGAAAACTCTGTAATTTGAGTTACATAAAATGAATTGATTTCCCCATCCCAAAAAATAAATTAATAAGATTAACCAAATATTTTTCTAACCAATCCTTCACATCATAAGGAATCCCAACAGAGCTCCCAGTGCCACTAAAAAGCTGCCCTTCAAGTTTACAGCACTGCTGGTGGGCGCAACTGCCGGACCCTCAACTTCTGCCGGAGAAGGTGCCGGAGAAACGCCCATGAAGTGGCGGTGCTTCTCAGACATCACCACAATAATAACCTTCTGACCCTTCTCGCAGTGCCCCTCCGCCCCACTAATGAAGTAGTATGGCCCCGACCTCTCCAGCTTCACCTTCGCGTTGCCATCGGTGTAAGTTTCAATGGGACTCGATGTGTTACATGTAACGTAATCTCTCTTTGTCACTTGCAGCACTGAATCCTTCGACGCATCAAATTTCCACACTGAAAAAAAGATTCAAATTTGCTTAAAAGTTAAATAACAGAAGATTTGCACAATCTTTACAACATTATTACTTGTATATATGTATGTATACCTAAGGAATCGCCGATTTGGAATCGGGATTTTTCGGCCCAGTGATTGAGAGAATCAGATTCAGAGGAAGGGACTTTCCACGAATCAGATTTACCACCAACCAAGTGGTCTCTGGCTTCTGAGAAGCTCAAGAAGAGGAAGAAGAGGACAAGTGATGAAGAACACACTGCCCTTGAAAAACTAGCCATTTTGAGACTGCTATTGAAAATTTTGAAGCTCAAGAAACTTGTTTTGGTAGAGAAAGGTTTCAGGGATGATTGTGGTGGCTATGTGCAATATGCAGCAGTATATATAGAGGAAAGTGAAAAACTAGCCGTTAGGGTCGCTTTCTAACGGATAAATATTTACAGGATACAGCATAGAGTTTCGACTGGGACCCAGCAATTTATTGTAAATATATTTTTTAGTTTTTAAATAGTTTTAACTGAAAATAAAATCTCCCTGGTCACAAGTGTTGAGACTTTAATGTGACTTTCACTTCATTGTGATATTGGATTCCGTTAAGACACGTTACTCATTCAAGGTACCAAAGTGAATTTTATCTAGACGTTCATTTCTTAGAATCCAAGCATGACATCCATTATTCAATTTTGTAAGCACAATAAAACTAACTAACTTCACGGTATGCTTACTAAGTGTTGACACGGTTAAGATTTCTAAAATTTTGAGTATCGTTATTGTATTATCGTCATTGTCATCGAGCCTTATAAGCCTATTATGCATTTGCTTTGGCTATAATATGAATTCAAAAGATCAAATCTATTGATTGAAATCATAATTTCACTTTAATTTATCAAGCTCTTGTATGGTGCCCCTCCCCAAGTCGTACTAATGTTTCTTTATTATTTAATAAAAGTATATCCCAAGAGTGATTTCCCCAAAGAAATGAGGTTTCTAACTTTAAAAATATTTTAGTGACAATTAAAATAGATCACATATTCAAGTCTGACCTGGATGATTCTGGTGGCTATGTGCAATATGCAGCAGTATATATAGAGCAGAGTGAAAAACTAGCCGTTAGGGTCGCTTTCTAACGGATAAATATTTACAGGATACAGCATAGAGTTTCGACTGGGACCCAGCAATTTATTGTAAATATATTTTTTAGTTTTTAAATAGTTTTAACTGAAAATAAAATCTCCCTGGTCACAAGTGTTGAGACTTTAATGTGACTTTCACTTCATTGTGATATTGGACTACATTAAGACACATTACTCATTCTACAACAAGGTACCAAGGTGAATTTTATCGAGACATTCATTTCTTAGAATCCAAACATGACATCCATTATTCAATTTTGTAAGCACAATAAAACTAACTAACTTCACGGTATGCTTACTAAGTGTTGACACGGTTAAGATTTCTAAAATTTTGAGTATCGTTATTGTATTATCGTCATTGTCATCGAGCCTTATAAGCCTATTATGCATTTGCTTTGGCTATAATATGAATTCAAAAGATCAAATCTATTGATTGAAATCATAATTTCACTTTAATTTATCAAGCTCTTGTATGGTGCCCCTCCCCAAGTCGTACTAATGTTTCTTTATTATTTAATAAAAGTATATCCCAAGAGTGATTTCCCCAAAGAAATGAGGTTTCTAACTTTAAAAATATTTTAGTGACAATTAAAATAGATCACATATTCAAGTCTGACCTTTATGAAATATAGGAAAAAAAATAAATTAGAAAACAACTTACCAAGATGTGAAAATAGAGGATAAATTATTGAACTATGTTCAAAATTTGACCCTTTGACCAAATTATTCCATATGAAATAATTAAAATAATTAAATAGACATACAAGAAAATAAAAATAAAAAAATTGATCAAATTGTTGACTTTTGGTCATAATCAAATGGATAAATTCCGTCTACAAGTCCTCCAGCTGCAATAAAGATGAAAGGTTTGGAACCCCAATTGTAAAAATAAGAAGTTTGGGTATAATTTGTAATAATTTGAAAGGTTTGAGACCCCCACTGCAATTCTCCCATTTTTTTTATTAGGGTGGCTAGCATTGCTAACACATGTCAAGCAAAAACGAAGCAAATTGACACGTTGAGTCCATACATCGCCGTAATCTTCTTTATAAAGAACGTGGCAGCCCCACGGCCGCCACCCCTCCGCCACAACACACACATACACACAGTTCACGAGTTTCCACTTCCGTTTGAGAAAGGAGAGAGAGAAAAAGGATGGCAGGAAATGAAGATTGGAGAAAAAACGCAGACACCCACAAAATGAGCCCCGAGGAAGTAAAAAGAGCAGGAGTTGAGGCCTCGAAGCGGTCGCCGGGCCACAATCCTGGTGGTGTCCTCCACCAGCGGCGGAGCCTGCCTTACAGCCCATATACCATAGTTCTTGGTGGCCTTGCTATTAGTGGGGCTATATGGTACTTCACCTTGTACACCAAGAAAAAGCCGGAAGCCACCGCCCGGGACGTTGCCAAAGTTTCAGTCGGTGCTGCTGATCCTAAAGATACACATCCTCGCAAATAAAAGATGTTTTCATTCTACTGTAGTCTACACTTCCTTTGTAACAGCTGGTGGTGGAAAAATGAAATTAGAAGAACTTCTTGTTCCTTTATATATATATATATATAATTGTTTCTTGGTTTTAATTCCTAATTATTGTTCTACTATGGTCCGGCTATCTTTATGGTGGTGGAATTCCAAACCAACTTTTTAAGTAATTAAATATTATTTAATGGATGAAAATGAGAAAATTTATAACCACAAGTCAGGGAGTAACATTTTTTTAAGAGTTCTGCTTCTGAGCCAGGCTCAGAAACAGGGTAAAAAACATACCTCAGCCCCCAGATCTCATACATTTTATTTTTTGGCCTGGACAAGAGGCATTTTCGTTTTTTTAAACCCCTTCAGTTTGAATTGGTAATTTCTCCATTACAATGACGGTCAAGAAACATCTACAATAATTATTAATTAGTCCTATTTGTGAAAATGTATTGTATAGCAAAAAATGCAGCCCACTTAAAATCGGGTCAAGTTGGTCAAATTACAACTCATTTGCTGATTCTTAGACATTAGTCGATTCAGACCTCCATTTAAATTTATCCAAGCTTCATCTTGGTCATGGATGGATCGTCCTGATCATGGGTAAATCATGCATCAAGGTTTGGGTCCAAGTTCGATTTTGATGTGTGGTGAATATTTGAACAACTGTCATGTGAATTACTATTGGAGAGTGGACATTTGAACAATTACTATTGGAGAGTAGACATTTGAACAACTCTAGTGTACTAAAATTGTAGTAATATCATATTTCAACATCAATCGGGATTTTGTCCTGTTATAGAATTCTTATGTTTAGGTATTGAAATTGGGAAATTGGTGGTGAATTTGACAGAGTTTTGTATAGTGAATTGAATAGTATGATCGAAGAAAAATATAATTCATCTTGTAATTCACAAAATGCAGTACTATAAGAAATCCAAGACAAGACTCAAATAAGGTAACTATAACGGTTATTAAGTACTCACACTCAAAAAGAACGTTCATATAATCATTCTAAAGCATACATTTCCTTGATATTGTATAACTCTCTTCTATCTACTTTTGCTTTCCCCGTACGGAGGAATTCCTCTGCAAGATCTTGCATTTATCAATCAATCTTCACAGAAGAATAAATCATCCTGGTGAACCAAAAGCAGGCGTAGAAGCCTATGGTACCAGTTAGAACAAAAAACGCGTATGAAGCGATCAACATGTACCCGAAATACAATACACCAGAGACAGGCTTAGTGATGTCGAGTTTAGTGAAGAAATAGAATGCAGCGTAGAGGAAGAGATATAGAGCCGAAGAACCTGATGTTAAGTATGATCTCCACCACCAGAGGTAATCTTCGCTGCATAATTGGAAATAGCAGAGCACGATTGATATTTCTGCGCACGTGATGATGAGGATGACCAGGACGATGAAGAGGAACCCAAAAATGTAGTAAAACTGATTCAACCATATCGAGGTGAGAATGAAAAAGAGCTCGATGAAAACAGCTCCAAATGGGAGAATACCTCCGATTAATATTGAGAATACGGGGTTCAAGTACCATGCCTGTTCAGGGATTTGCCTGGGAATTTTGTTTGTTTTCACAGGATCCTCAATTGCTGGTTTTCGGAAGCCTATGTAGCTTCCAACAAAAACTAGTGGTACTGAAATTCCGAACCATAGGAAGACTAAAGCAAACATTGTTCCGAACGGGACTGCCCCTGATGATTTCTGGCCCCAGATGAGTGCATTGAGTACAAAGAAGATGCTAAAAACTGTAGCAGGGAACAGAAAAGCAGTCCTAAGAGCGATTTTCTTCCATTCAGTTCCTTTGAACATCTTGTAAAGACGAGCCGAGGCATAACCAGCAAGAAGTCCCATCAGAACCCAAAGCAATAACATGGCTGTCATAAGTCCACCACGGTTGGAAGGAGAAAGGAATCCGAGAGCAGCGAAGATCATAGTAACAAGCACCAACCCTAGAAACTGTACACCAGTTCCAACATAGACACATAGTAATTCCGAGTTATATGGGGGCCTGAACACATCTGCATGGACTAATTTCCATCCAGTTTCTTCCTGGGCCTCTTCCTGAGTCTCGAGTTCATTATACTTAGAGATGTCCCGGAAAAGTGTCCGCAGCATTATCATTGCAACCATGCCCGAGAGGAAGAGAACGATCATCAAAGAATTTACTATTGAGAACCAATGGATTTGGTCATCTGACATTAGAAGGTAGGTATCCCACCTTGATGCCCATTTCACCTCACTCTCCTGCAGCGCAGAGCAGTGGGATTATCAAGTTCCAGGAACATTGAAATTTATAGCGAGAAAGAAAAATATACACATTAAAAAGAAAGAAACATGAAACAGTTGGTTTTTCAGGTGACGAAGATAACATTTTCCTTGCATAGAATCAGATTTGTTTGTAACCTTGAATGCAACATCATAAGTGAATATGACTTCTTGTTTATCTTCAACTTCTTGGGGAGAATTTGAGGAAGAAACCGTACGCTTTGCATGGGGATCACACGTCATTAGACGAGTATCCTCACTCCATTGTCCTTCATATTCATGCTTGACACTAAATGCACGAGATATAGAAGATAAGTACATGATGCACTACAAACGCCAAAAGAATTCTATGAAGTAAAATATCAAAAACTTGTGCCCTAAAACAAATTATTAACAACTAAGACCTCCCTAAAGAGCCTACCTGAATGGTACAACCTCAAAACCCACAATCCTTGCCGCTTCAGTCTGTTGATCTTTATGATACTTGACAGTGAAGCTCAAGTGATTGTGAAGAAAATATTTTTCATCCTTGCTCTGCATGGAAGGGAACAAAATGCAAGTCAAAGAAAAATCTTGCATATAGATTACCTAGGTAGTTTAGACCAATAATTAATTTACTTACACCGCTGTATTGTCCTTTTAGCCCAACATGAAAACCAAGCTGATAAACTGGACTCTCTTGTTCTGCCCTTGGAATGGGAACAACCAATGGGAGATTATCTAAGATCCTGCCACATGAAGCAGCAGAATTGTTAAATGTTGATGATTTGAAATAAATTCTTTGGAAATAAAAGATGTTGGATTCGTTAAATGGACATATTGACCTACATGTTGACGTGATATTCATCTTCAATTTTGTCTTTGAATTCTTTTGCAGTTTTGGCATCAAGTGTAAGTCTACAGACTACATTGCACATCTGGGGTTCTCTCATTTTAAACTGTAACACACACACAAAGAAAATGTCAATTACTAACAAACCAGTTAAATGTGTCCGTATTCATAAAGGACATAATACTGACCACATAACGAGAGTTCTCAATGCGATCTCCACGAAGTACTTCTCCAAGATTTTCTCTACTGTCAACTATGGCGTCTGGATGACAGAAAGGAAGAGAATAGTACGAGTAAGGGAGTTGAGTCTTTATAGAAGTCAGTTTGTTCACTTTCACATTCAATGGATCTCCCTGCACTCAATTCAACAAAATAACCAAGAAAAGAAAATCATATGTCATGACACTATGGCTTACAAAGTGGAACATACAAGATAAGGAACAAGTAAAATGTAGGCAACAATTTAGACAGTATAAGAACTTGCAAATTCATCCTTCTACTAATGAATGAATTCAGAAAGAAGTTATTTTGTTTCCCGGGCCATATTTTTGTATAAGAACTTCTAAATACAATCACCATTCTTTTTTCTCTCTACACCTATGTCATAACTGCATCCACCATTCAATTTAAAATTTCACAATACTATTCTATACATTCCCATTGTTCTGAAAAGAACCCCTATGTTGGCCAGTAAGAAGTCTTACCTATTTTGTAAAGGCAATTCTCATCCCAGGAATGGGAAGGTTGAAGTATCGGGGTGGCAGGGACAAGTGGGATACACATGTTGGACTGTTGGTGAGAAGGTGCACGGTGATGAGATGGGAGGGATGACGGAACTGTGGTGGCATGGCATTTTGATGAAATAAGATAACACATATTTTCCTCTCTACTTCTGAAACAATCCTTTTGAGAAGATAGTGACATGGGGATTCTCTCCATTTTAGAAGAAAAGTTGAACCTTGTGTTGGTATATGGAAAGATGTTTAATTACCTATTAACAGGTGGGAGTAAATAGCAGCTCACTTTATGGTTTCCTGTTCTGACATTAAGTACATTGATTGCAACATAATTTTAAATATTGAGCATTTCGCATTAACACAAATTTCAGAAGTTACTTGATGAACATTTGTAAGACAAACAGGTCCAACAATCGAAGTGCTATCTCGGGTAAGCCAAGAAAGCCTTAGCGTGCAAAGACATAGAGCTCATATGCATACACGTTAGAGTTCATGGACACACACATCTCTCCATTTAGTGTGAGATCTCGAGGGTAGATTTAATTGTCTCTCCGGCCAATTATTATGTAATAAATACCCATGAAATTACAGAATAGCATCCCATGTTTACACAGAATTTAAATGACACATTCACTAATTGTAACACTATGGTTATTAATTACTCAGTATCCGCTTAGTCTCTTCAAAATTTCATCCTCCATTCTCCAAACCCCATCCCATTAAAGGCTTTATACAATCTTCCAGTAATAAAGTCATTCTAATCCCCATCACATTCTCCTTTAGCAGTAACATCTCGCAACCATATGACATCACTGCTCCAATTTTTTTGATAGAACAACCGACACAATGCACAAGATGAAAACGTCTAATGTGCATTAAGCAACAATTGATTAACCTTCTCTAGAAGGATTTAAACTAATGCCAATCCCAACTTGTAATCAAATACTACCTGCCTACCCAAATAGGAATAGCCCAATCCGAATCCAATTGCGCCATACCCACTCACTTAGACACACAAGACCAACAACACAGATCTTTGCGAAAAACCCAGATCAAGAATCACATTAAAGCATGCATATATTATATGGATTTATAAAAAAAATTAAGCGGTGATCGGAAAAGGGACCTTTCTGAAGTCTTCAGGAGCAACACCTGGGAGGTAGAATCCGAAGGCATTGTGGCAGAGAAGAATGCAAATAACTGTGAATACGAAAACTGTACGCATTACACGAGATCCAATAGTTCCTCCCATG